AAATTACCCATTGAAACGAGTAAATGCCCATATATAACAAAAGTTCTTTGAAATGCTTAAACACCCAATCTTTAACAAATAACCCTTGAAATGCTTAAATGACCATTTGAGAAAAATACCCATTGAAACGAACAAATGAATACATTGACTGATGAAACACAAAAGACAAGCAGGAATATTTGTGTAAGTTAGGTTATGTAAGTTTGGGTAAGTTAGGTTATGTAATTTATGTTAAGTTAGGTTAGGTTAAGTTAGGATAGGTTAAGTTAGGATAGGATATGTTAGGCTAGGTTAAATAAGTTAGGTTAGTTAGGTTAGGATAAGTTAGGTTAGGTTATGATAGGTTGGGTTAGGTTAGGATAGGTTAGGTTAAGTTAGGATAGGATAGGTTAAGTTAGGTTATGAAATTTAAGTTAGGATAGGTTGGGTTATTTTAGGCTAAGTTAGGTTATATTAGGCTAAGTTAGGTTAGGTTAGGATGGGTAAGTTAGGGTAGGTAAGTTAGGTAATGTAAGTTAGGTTAGGTAAGTTAAGTTAGGATAGGTAAGTTAGGTAAGGTAAGTTAGGATAGTTAAGTTAGGTAAGATGAGGTAATGTAAGACAGGTTAGGTTATGCAAGTTAAGTTTGGATAGGTAAGATAGGTTAGGTTACCCAAGTTAGGTTAGGTTAAGTTAGGTTGAGTTAGGTAAGATAGGTAAGGTGAGGTAAGTTAGTTAGGTAAGTTAGGTTAGGTTAGGTAAGTTAGGTTGGGTTAAGTTAGGATAGGTAAGTTAGGTTATGTTAAGTTAGGTTAAGCAAGTTAAGTTAGGTTAAGCAAGTTAAGTTAGGTTAGGTTAAGTTAGGTAAGGTAGAGTAAGTTAGGTTAGGTTTGGTAAGGTACATTAGGTTAGGTTATGCCAGTTAGGTTAGGTTAAGCAAGTTAAGTTAGGTTAGGTTAAGTTGGGTACGATAGGTAAGGTAAGTTAGGTTAGGTAAGTTAGGTTAGGTAAGGTAGGATAGGTAAGTTAGGTAAGGTAAAGTAAGTTTGGTTAGGTAAGTTCGGTTAGGTTAGGTAGGTTAGGTAAGTTAGGATAGGTTAAGTTATGTTAGGTTATGTAAGTTAGGTTAGGTTTAGGAATGCTATGTTAGGTGGGGAGGATAGGTTAGGTAGGTTTATGAAGTATTGTACAGAGAACAGTTTTATAGGTAAAGTGTCTAAGAAAATATATTTTAACAGAAGTGCAAGTTTGATATAAAAAGCTGAACTAGTTACATTTTGGAGAGAAATTTTATGCCTGAAGATGTCTTAGAGAACAACATTGATGTCTTTGAGAATAACTTGATGGAACAAGGAGAGTTTCTTTGATGAACGAATGTGTCTTAGAGAACAACATTGATGAACAAAGGTGAGTTAGAGATTACCCTTGATGGCTCTGAGATTAACTTTTGATAGCTCCGAGAAATTTTTTTTGATGTCTTAGAGAAGAACATTGATGTCTTTGAGAACAACATTGATGTCTTAGAGAACAACATTGATGTCTTAGAGAACAACATTGAAGATTGAGATAACTTTTGATGGCTTTGAGAATAACTTTTGATGACTGAGATTAACTTTTTGATAGCTCTGAAAATAATTTTGATGAACGAAGATGTCTTAGAAAGCTTCTCTGATGAACGAAAGGTTACTTAGAGAATAACTTTTGATGACTGTATTGGCTGTGACTGTGACTCTGAGGACAGCTTTGTTGAACGAGGATGTCTCAGAAAGCTTTTCTGAATAACGAAGGTGACTCTGAGAATAACTTTGATGTCTTAGAGAACAACTTTTGTTAGCTCTGAGATTTACTTTGATGACTTTGAGGATATGAGATCACCTTTTGATGACTCTGCGAATGACTTTGTTGTCTTAGAGAAGAACTTTGATGACTAAGAGAATAACTTTAATGAACGAAAGTGAGTTAGAAAATACCTTTGATGACTCTGAGAATATTTTTGATGACTTTGAGAATGACGTTTGAGAACATGAGTAGTATTTTGATAGCTCAGGGAACAACTTTTGATGACATAGAGAATAACTTTGAGGTCTCTGAGAATAACTTTAGATGTCTCTGAGAATAACTTTGAGGTCTCTGAGAATAACTTTAGATGTCTCTGAGAATAACTTTGATGAACGAAAATGTCTTTGGTGTCTTTGAGAATAACTTATATCTTACAGAACAATCTTACAGAACATTACAGAAGATATCTTACAGAACAACGTTGATGTCTGATATTAACTTTGATAGCTCTGAGAATAACTTTTGTGGACATGAGAATATCTTTGGATAACTCTGAGAATAACTTTGATGTCTTAGAGAACAACTTTTAATGAACGAGAGTGAGTTAGAGATTACCTTTTGGTAGCTTTGAGAATAACTTTGATGACTCTGATGTCTCTGATAATAACTTTAGATGTCTCTGAGAATAACTTTTCGGATGAAGATGCCTGAGTTTAACTTTTTGAGGACATGAGTAGTATTTGACGATTTTGAGTGTGTCTTTGAGTGTGGCCTTGATGTATCGAAGAGTGTCTTTGTTGTCTCGAAGAGCACCTTTGACTATTTTTCTTACTCATTGAGGTTTACTGTTAGTTACAAAAGTGAAGAACGATGTTCCATTTTACTATTTTTAGTTGAGGAAAGACAAGAAAATATGATGACGGAGACTATTTTTTGTGCTCCCCAAAGTATAATCTCAGTTAAGAACAGCGATGAAAGATATCTTTGGCTATTTTGTCTTACTTGATGAAACATAACGGCTGTTAAGAAATGATGAACAAGACTATTTTCAGTTACTTGACGATGGATAAAGTTAGTTATGAAAAGTATTGGAAAGTTTCCTTTGACTATTTTTAGCTAAGAGAAAGGTTATTTTAGTTAAGACCAGTGATTGTAAGAAATATTAAGTTGACTACGATAATTACTTTGACATAGTTTTGCAAATAAAACTGGGTGACTAAATTTGTTGGGGGAACTGTATTGCTGATGATAATATTTGACAAAGAACTAGTTAGTGAATGGAAGAAACAATTGGTTTAAAGAAACAAAGAACATAAAAAATTGAGACTAAGTAAGGGAATGAACACAGTGAACATACGGGGAACACAGAAAACATGTAAGAAAAGTTGATGTACACAGTGAACATGTAGGGAATATGAACTTACAGAGAACATGAAGACATGATAAGGAACATAGGTAATACAAAGAATGAACACTGAACATGTGAAGAAAAAGCTAATAACATTGAGAAACATGAATATTGAGTATAAAAGTTGTACAGAGAACATATGATGTACATGAAAACATGACAAAGAACATAGTGAACATACGGGGGAAAATGGTAGAAAACAGAGAAAAATTGAGAAAACAGGTGAATAAAATATGAACTGAGTATGCTGGGAACATTTGTAGAACATGGAGTGAACAAAGAAAACATGGAAAAGAATGTGAAGAACACAGTGAATATAGAGAAAATATGCAAATACAGTAGGATTATGGAAGGTTTAGATAAGTTGGGGGGAGGTAAAGGAAGGTAAGGGAGGGAAAGGGTAAGGTGCGATTTTTGACCGTGTGATTATTGCTTACTTGGGTAAACAAAAGGTATTAAAGGTAAGGTGTTATATGACGGTGTGAATATTACACAGCTGAGTACAAAAAGGGTATTAGAGGTAATGATGTTTACTTTGATAGACTGGAGAGGGGCTTGATCTGAAATAATTTGATGAACATTGAACTAAGGAGGAGGACACGAGCTGAAACTTGGTTAATGTCTTGATCTTATTTTACTACATAGAAATATAGTGATCTTAAATTTCAGGGAAATTGATCTGCTACTAAAGAACTTGAACAAATGAACTACGGTGGAGGAAAAGAGCTGGAGCTCAGTAACTGACTTGATCTTATTTACTTCGTCTGAAATATGCTGTTTAAAATTTCAGGGGGATTGGACTGCTAGTAAAGATGATACAGGGAAGCACTAAGGTGGGGACATGAGCTGGAGCTTGCTTACTGACTAACAAATTTTGATCTGGAAACGGTCTCTGATGAAAATGATCTGTGAATATTTCTGGGCTCAAACTGAACTCTGTTAATTTTTTGGTCTTTATTGGACTCTGACAATATTTTAATTTCCTCCATAAAAACTTTTTAAGAATGCAGGTTTAAGTAAAACTCTGAAATATTTTGGTTTCAAAGTGGACTCTGACAAATTTTTGGTATAAAATGGACTCTGATGATAATTGGTTTGAAAATGGACTCTGATGAATTCTGCTCACAAAGTGGATTCTGGCTAATTTTTGTAGATTACAGGACTCTGAATATTTTCGGGCACAAACAGGACTCTGAATATTTTTGGGTGCAAACTGGACTCTGAATAATTTGTCTGTAACTGGACTCTGGTGAAATTTGAGCTTAAACTGAACTCTGACGAATTTCTGTTGTTAATTGGACTCTGATTATTTTTGGGTATAAACTGGACTCTGATGAAAATTGGTTTGAAAATGGACTCTGTCTAATTTTCACAAATTACAGGTCTCTGAATTTTTTTGGGCACAAACAGAACTCTGAATAATTTAGGTCAACAACTAGACTCTAACGAATTTCTGTCGTTAATTGGACTTTGACTAATTTTGGGTATAAACTGGACTCTGAATAATTTCTGTCTATAACTAGTCTCTGATGGATTTTCGGAATGAACTAGTCTCTGCCTAATTTTTGTAGATTACAGGGCTCTGAATATTTTCTGGCACAAACTGCACTCTGAAGAATTTTGCTCACAAAGTGGACTCTGAAGAATTTAGGTTAACAACAGAACTCTGTTAATTTTCAGGGTAAAACTCGACTCTGATTATTTTCAGGCATAAACTGCACTCTGATGAATTAAAGCCACGACTAAGATGCCTGTTTTCCTTAACAAAACGTCTAAGACAATATTCTCTGAAAATGGTCTTTGAAAAATACGAGGTTTTGAAAACTGATAAAATATGTCCGTTTACACCAACACCACTTCAACCACTAGTTCCCAAGATCCGGATCCGGTCTCTGACATCACCGTGAACGCCGCCGTGCTGACGGATCTACTATCAACAGCTGCAACGCCGGCTCCTCCAGCAACATTATCACTAGCCACCCAGACGCCGACGCCTCCTCCATCGACAACTGCCACAGTTCCACCTCTCATGTGTGAACCCTCTGAATGTTCTACATCAGCTGCAGGTCCCATCAAGCCTCAACAAGCAAGAACTCATCCCTCAAGATCCACCGCCTCTGCTTCTGAGTCAGCCGACTCATCGGATGAGGACGTCTCGGTTGGAACACCATTACCTCCACGGAAGCACCCCAACACAACCGAAGATTTCCTGCTGGACACTACCTCCAACGATAGCCTCACCATGTCAACGCGTAGCAAGACCAACAGACCGGCCAGGAAGCCTGGGAAGAAGAACACCGACGATCTACACCTGAGAAAATCAAGTAAACAGAAGAACACCGACGAAATACTATAAAGAACGCCGCGACGAGAAGCCCTGCCTCCTGCAAGACACATCAGCGAGCAACCATGAGAAACTCCACTCTACCACCAAACCACAGCGCCAGCTGCAATTCTTACCCACTGTGGTTGGGCCACCGAATTTTCTCCCCCCTCTTCGACTTGTCTCCAGTTCCTAGTTCAAGATTTCTGCATCCTCGCCCCTGTCTGCAATTCCCTGCTTGCCTGCTCTAGGGTCCTTGGAACGCAGAACGTGCAATCACCGTGAATTCCACACAAAAAAATTATGCTCAGGAGTCATATTTTCTATAGGCATCATATTTTGAAAACTGGAGGGGGATTTATGCAAAATCAGACCAATCACTGTTTTCTCTAATTTGCATATTTTCGGATTAAAAAGTCGTAATTTAAAACTCCAAATACGTGCAATCACCCTGAATTCCGTTCAGAAATAACATTCAAGCGTCATACTATTCATCATATTTTTAAAACTGCAGGAGGATTTGGGCAAATTCTGACCAATCTCCGTTTTCACAAATTTGCATATTTTTGGTATAAAAAGTCGTAATTTGAAACTCCAAATTCGTGCAATTCCCCTTAATTCTGCTCTGAAATAACGTTCAGGAGTCATATTTCTGGTAGGAACGCATTTTGAAAACTGCAGGGGGATTTAACTTACCATAATGTTCTTCAATAGGCAGCTGCTCGCGCTTTCTTAGCAATTCGTAATTTCGTAATCTGAGCTAAGCTTCCACACATATAAATTAATAATCATAATAAATCAATACACTCACGTTTCACTGCATCAGGCATACCACATGTATTTATTCCTCTTGTTAGCCAACAGGTCTCCTCTTTAGTGATTAATATTCCTGCGAATCAACACCAGAATTATCCATCAGTTTGGCCTCGAGTAAGTACAGTCCTCTTGCGGCTCCCACACTAACGATGCTGCCTCTACCATGAACGAACTGCTTCCACCATTTATGAACCTGTAATTTTATCATAACAAAATAATATAATTTCAAAAACCACTGTACAATTGTTAAATAAAACTCTTCTTATAACCCGAACATTACTAGTCGGTCTGCATCAGAAATCTTCACGTGCCTGCAAACCCCCATCAGTCAATCACCTACTACTGCTGCACAAGCATGTGTCGCTCCCGCCTTCATCATGTCATTTCATTTTAAACTCCTTATATTATCTCATTATTTATGCAAACATTTTTTATTTACACTTCAAAACTTCACACACAATCACTGGGAACTTGATATTTCTGCATTAGACAACCTATGGTAATTTAAAAGGCTCTTACCGCAAAATAATGACGTGATGACGCTTGCTGGTCGACGTCAAAAAAGGCGCTCTTCCAAGTGGCCCATACAAGTTAATTTTGACTGTCACTGTTGACTTTTTTATGTGTTGACTTGAGTGTGGGAGCGGGGGGAGGGGGTCAGTGCACAGGTACCAGATGTTCACCTGCCCAAACGATCATCTTGAAGGATACTCAGAGGCCTCTTCTTGGCCCTAACACAGTGGACCATCACGAAACGACCACCCAACAGGCTTCAGGTCACCCCTTTTCGTCGCCACTCTCCGAGACACACTACTATTCGTCCTCCCACTTTTCCAATAGTCGTTTCTCTCATGAGGTGATGCCCGAGGAGGGAGGGGGAGAAGCCATATTGAAAATGGAACTGTTAATGTGTCAGCTGTCATCCTGAGTATTGTGATCTACAAGTTATTCTCGTGGAGCTGAGCAGCTCAGATTGACACCATCGGTTCCTGGGAAGTCATTTTCTGTTCAATGTTGTTGTGTTAGAGTTCTTTCATTTATTTACATACTGTAGCGGTTATAATGTATGCCTAATAACACCAAAGGATAACCAAATTTAATATCATCCCAAAAGTTATATTATTTGAATAATTCATAGAAACTGAATACATTATTGTAGTAGATTTTATGGTGTTACGTGTTAACAGGTAAAGTGAGACTGTGGAAGTTACTAATGTGGAACATTATCTAGTGAAACGAAACCACATGACTGATTCTTGTCCGGATCTGGTCCTAGATTCACGAAGCTCCATGTATGTCTTCGTAAGTAAGTGTGCTATGAAGGTTCCTAAGTATTGCCTAAGAACGTTCCTACGTCCAGTTCAGAAAGATGTACTTACGAAGATTTTAGCAATTTCACTTAAGTCTCGTTAGAGGTCACTAGGGCTTTTCGTTTGGCCAATCAGAGAGAAGGTAGCATTTTTCACCTTACAGCTGTAGCCAATAGACTCACTGCTCACACAGTTCTCTCGCTCACTGCTCACATACTCCTCTCACTGCTCACATACTTCTTTCTCTCTCTTATTTGTCAAATAGTTCTCTCTTTCACTGCTCACACAGTTTTCTCTCTCACTGCTCACACAGTTCACTCTCTCACTGCTCACACAGTTCTCTCTCACTGCTCACACAGTTCTCTCTCACTGCTCTCACAGTTCTCTCCCTCACTTATCACACAGTTTTCTCTCTCACTGCTCACACAGTTCTCTCTCACTGCTCACAGAGTTCTCTCTCACTGCTCACACAGTTGTCTTTCACTGCTCACACAGTTCTCTCTCTCACTGCTCACACAGTTCTCTCTCACTGCTTACACAGTTCTCTCCCTCACTGCTCACACAGTTCTCTCGCTCACTCACACAGTTCTCACTGCTCACACAGTTCTCTCTCACTGCTCACACAGTTTCTCTCACTGCTCACACACAGTTCTCTCTCTCACTGCTCACACAGTTCTCTCTCACTGCTCACACAGTTCTCTCTCACTCACTGCTCACACAGTTCTCTCTCTCACTGCTCACACAGTTTTCTCTCTCTGCTCACACAGTTCTCTCTCTCTCACTGCTCACACAGTTTTCTCTCTCTCATTGCTCACACGGTTCTCTCTCTCATTGCTCACACGGTTCTCTCTCTCACTGCTCACACAGTTCTCTCTCTCACTGCTCACACAGATCTCTCTCTCATTGCTCACACGGTTCTCTCTCTCATTGCTCACACGGTTCTCTCTCTCATTGCTCACACGGTTCTCTCTTTCATTGCTCACACGTTTCTCTCTCTCATTGCTCACACAGTTTCTCTCTTGCTCTCATTGCTCACACGGTTCTCTCTCTCACTGCTCACACAGTTCTCTCTCTCTCACTGCTCACACAGTTCTCTCCCTCACTGCTCACACAGTTCTCTCTCACACAGCTCACACAGCTTCTCTCTCTCTCACACAGTCTCTCACTGCTCACACAGTTCTTCACTGCTCACACAGTTCTCTCTCACTGCTCACAGTGCTCACACAGTTCTCTCCCTCACTGCTCACACAGTTCTCTCTCACTGCACTGCTCACACAGTTCCCTCGTCACTGCTCACACAGTTCTCTCTCACTGCTCACACAGCTCTCTCCCTCACTGCTCACACAGTTCTCTCTCTCACTGCTCACTGCTCACACAGTTCTCTCTCTCACTGCTCACACAGTTGTCTCTCACTGCTCACACAGTTGTCTCTCACTGCTTACACAGTTCTCTCCCTCACTGCTCACACAGTTCTCTCGCTCACTGCTCACATACTCCTCTCACTGCTCACATACTTCTTTCTCTCTCTTATTTGTCAAATAGTTCTCTCTTTCACTGCTCACACAGTTTTCTCTCTCACTGCTCACACAGTTCACTCTCTCACTGCTCACACAGTTCTCTCTCACTGCTCTCACAGTTCTCTCCCTCACTTATCACACAGTTTTCTCTCTCACTGCTCACACAGTTCTCTCTCACTGCTCACAGAGTTCTCTCTCACTGCTCACACAGTTGTCTTTCACTGCTCACACAGTTCTCTCTCTCACTGCTCACACAGTTCTCTCTCACTGCTTACACAGTTCTCTCCCTCACTGCTCACACAGTTCTCTCGCTCACTGCTCACACCGTTCTCACTGCTTACACAGTTTTCTCTCTCTCACTGCTCACACAGTTGTCTTTCACTGCTCACACAGTTCTCTCTCTCACTGCTCACACAGTTCTCTCTCTCACTGCTCACACAGTTCTCTCTCACTGCTCACACAGTTCTCTCTCACTGCTCACACAGTTCTCTCTCTCACTGCTCACACAGTTCTCTCTCACTGCTCACACAGCTCACTGCTCACACAGTTTTCTCTCTCTCATTGCTCACACGGTTCTCTCTCTCATTGCTCACACACAGTTCTCTCTCTCATTGCTCACACGGTTCTCTCTCTCATTGCTCACACTGTTCTCTCTCTCATTGCTATCACAGTTCTCTCTCTCACTGCTCTCACAGTTCTCTCTCTCTCTCACTGCTCACACAGTTCTCTCTCTCACTGCTCACACAGTTCTCTCTCTCTCACTGCTCACACAGTTCTCTCTCTCACTGCTCACACAGTTCTCTCTCACTGCTCACACAGTTCTCTCACACAGTTCTCTCTCTCACTGCTCACACAGTTCTCTCTCTCACTGCTCACACAGTTCTCTCTCTCTCACTGCTCACACAGTTCTCTCTCTCTCTCACACAGTTCTCTCTCTCTCTCTCACTGCTCACACAGTTCTCTCTCTCACTGCTCACACAGTTCTCTCTCTCACTGCTCACACAGTTCTCTCTCTCACTGCTCACACAGTTCTCTCTCTCACTGCTCACACAGTTCTCTCCCTGTGCTCACACAGTCTCTCCCTCACTGCTCACACACTGCTCACACAGTTTTCTCTCTCTGCTCTCACTGCTCAAACTGTACTCTCCCTCACTGCTCACACAGTTCTCTCTCACTGCTCACACAGTTCTCTCTCTCACTGCTCACACAGTTCTCTCTCTCACTGCTCACACGGTTCTCTCTCACTGCTCACACGGTTCTCTCTCTCACTCACTGCTCACACAGTTCTCTCTCCTCACTGCTCACACAGTTCTCTCTCTCACTGCTCACACAGTTCTCTCTCTCACTGCTCACACAGTTCTCTCTCACTGCTCACACAGTTCTCTCTGCT